AATAATAATATATATAATAACCAAGCCAAATGCCTGACTGTCTGACCGTCTCCCTCTCACACTCTCACTCCCTCTCTCTCTCTCTCTCTGACTGTCTTTCTGTGCTCTTGGCACTGCAATTTGAATGAGCAATTACTGGCATGTACAACTTAATGATGAATTAATCACCCAGTCATTAGCGTACATAATTCAAGACTTTATACATATGTAAAGGAAAAACCATCCCCAGCAAACAAAAAAGCAATGCGAAGTTGCTGCTCGAGCACATTTTCAACTAATTAATATGCATGAGCTGGGCGTAAGCATATTATTTTAAAGACGCATTAGCCCAGCCAAAAAGCGAATTAATGTATTTGAGCTAGCGACAGAAAAGTTTGAAGCGGACGAGCGAAGGAGAGTGAGCAAGAGACAACCAGATGGGCAGTAAGTGAAAGAGTGAGGGAGAGAGAGAGTCAAGTTCGGTTTACTTCATTGAGTTATAGCAAATCCAACATGGAATCGTTAAATAAATCCTGCAACTTCAAGTATTTTGAGGCCATGCCCATGCATTAGCATAAAATGCGGCTTCACCTGCAAGTTTTCATGCAGACGGCTACGAATACAGTTAGCAGCGCTTGGGCAGCGCTGCGAGGCATTTCAACTTTTACTTAATTGTGCGCAACTCTGCATAAAATGTTGATTTATTGCGGCAACTACAACTGCCAGGTAAGTAGGCGACTCACGCACACAGTCACACTGCCGCCCACACCACGCCCACTCGCCAGTCGACAGTCGGCAGTCGACAGTTTGCTTTTGCAGCACAGTCAAAAGTCAAATAGTTTTGGCACAGAAATTTGTCATACAACATTGTCGACGTCGGCGTCGACGTCGCTGTCGTCAGCGTCGGCGTCGTGGGCTTTGTTTTACCGGCATATTGTTTCAGGTTAATTAAGTTATTACTATAATGAGCTTGTAAGTATTTTGGCCTTTATTTATGGCATGCATTGAATTGGCGCTGGAGCGGGAGCAGGAGCTGGAGCAGGAGCCGGGGGAGGCCTTAACCGGTTAACAAAAGCGAAACTTTGCCAAAACTTTTGCCACGAGCTGCTGTCGACAATAAAAAATGGCAAATGCGTTTATTATAAGCCCAGAGCTTGGCACACAAAGAAAGCAGAGAGTAAAAAAAAAAAAAAAAAATGGAAACCCCAACACGGAAAATAAAACAGAAAGAAGCAGAATATTGCAAAGCGACGCCAAAATTGTCACAACTGTAAAATGCGCAATTGCGTCGGCTCGTAAATCTTAGCTACAAAAGGACACACACACATGCACAATGCTGGCACAAACACACACTCACATATGCTGGTGATTGGCTTACTAAACGTCGCAACTACGGACTGATTGCCACGGCTATAAAATGTGCAGCCTGCTTAAAACATAAAAATGCCAGACCAAGCCTGGCCAAAAGCACTCGCAGCACCAGCAGCAGCAGCAGCAGCAGCAGGAGCAAGAGTAACAGCAGGAGCAGCAGCAGCAGCAGCAGCAGCAAAGTGGCTGCGTAAAATATCAAGTAATGCCAAATCCCAAATGCGAAATGCGAAATGAGTTGAGTGCTACAAATCGTAAATGCTGGCAACCCAAACAACTAGACATGGCCATAAAGTCCACAACCTACTCCAACACACACACACACATGGGAACTATATAGACGCATAGTATAAACCCTTTATGTAGCTACGACTAAACGACAACTCGTAATTGTGTAAAATCTTTGGCGGCGTCTTCGATTTTGGGTCCTGGCCTGCTGAATCAGCAAAGTCTCTCTCCGTCCTCCATTGAAATATCCAAATTATTTCGCTGGCAAATTGCTAATAATAACTTGTATTACAACTACAGCCACCGCCGCTGCTGCACGACGCGGCCCCGCCCGGCCCCTCGACCCCTCGGCGCGGCCCGGCACAGACAAGCCCGTGACAAAGGCAAATAAACAATGAGACCAATAAAAATCCGCTTAGGCTTTCATAGGCGTTTTTTATGACAACAATATAAATGCAAAAGCAAAAATTCATGCACATAGTTGTTGTTGTAGTTGTTGTTGGCCCCCAAAAATGGGAACCCTTCAACATGTCAGACCTTCCTTCGCACGATAAATTCCACCTTGACTCTGTGTCTGTGTGTGCGAGTGTGTGTGTGTGTGTGTGTGTCGAGCAAAGAATGCCAAATGTTTGTTCTATAACCATGAAATTTTTGCTATCCTGTTACCCGCTCACTACAACTGTGTGTGCGTGTGTGTGTGTGTGTGTGTGTGTGTGAGCCTTTTATGATAATAGTTTCGTGTTGGCAAAATTTATTTATCTGATTTGCGTCCTTCTATAGTCGCTCTCAAAGTAAGAACTTCTGTCTGCGTGTGTGTGTGTGTGCTTGTGTGTGTTTGCTTTTGTGTGTGTGTGCATCAAACAAATAAAAATTATGTTAAAACATGCAAATACGCGTTAACTTTTGATTTATGACAGACCAAGACGAATCGAAAGGAGCTGCTCCTCCAGCGCTAACTGTTAATAATGATTGCGCTAGTTAGAGTTAGTTTTGCGGTTACAGTCGCTTAGGGCCTTCGAAGGGGGGGAGTGGAGGCGTGCGCAAATGAAAATAGATTCGCCCTGCCGTGCAATGGAATATGTCGCATTACTTTCCCTCGTTTTACCCTCCCGCTGAACCTTTTGCCATCGACTAATTGAAAAAGTTGAAGCCGAAATTTTGGAGCCTGGCCCATTACGGAAATTAAGCGCGTGCGGTTTTTTTAGACAGCCAAAAAAAAGGGAATGGTAAAAAAACACACCAAAATTAAGAAAACATAATCTGGCAGAAAATTTTGCTGCGACACGTTTATAAATAGCAGACGGGTAAGTGGGTCGGTGGGCTGGTGGGGCGAGCCGCGGCTGGATGCCTTTTTGCGCAACCTTTGGTCCGTGTCATGCTACTGATACCTTTGGCATTCATTGCCATAATTTCCTGTAATAAGACCGATGCGTCGACTCCTGCCAACAACAACAACAACAACAGTTACAGCAGCAACAACATTAGGAAGAGTGAGCCGAGCAAGGGGCTCGCTGACCCAGCTGCTTGGCGGGGTCGCCCTCTATACGCACAGTCGCACGCACAGGCGGGAAGGAAGCCCGGGGCCAGGCCAGGTGACAGTCATGATTTCCTTACCTTTACTTGCCGGCGGTTTCCGTGTGGCCCAATTCGTGCGAATCGAGCGCGAGCCCAGCCACTGCCCATTCATGGCCGTAATGGCGCTCTCAGCTTCCTGCAAGTAAAAACCAAAAAAGCGAAAGTTGAGAAACGCGTGCCGGACTCACATTGAGCTCATAGATATGGGCGACGGCATGAGACTGCATTACAATAGCCGAATCGCGCCTTGCTTACCGATTTCTTGATGAAGGACACAAATCCATAGCCCTTCGACTTCAAGGTTTGTGGATCGCGCACCACGCGGCAGTCGCTGCAAAGAGGGAAAAGCGAAAAATGAACAGTGAATGGGAAAGCAAAATAATAAATAAATTATTT